CCAGGAGCCAGGTGCTTCCTCCTGGTCTCCCACGTGGGTGCAGGGCCCAAGCACTTGGGCCATCCTCCGCTGCCTTCCCGGGCCACAGTAGAGAGCTGGACTGGAAGAGGAGCAACCAGGACAGAATCCAGCACCCCAACCAGGACTAGAACCCAGAATGCCGCGCCACAGGTGGAGGATTAGCCAAGTGAGCCGCGGCACCGGCCTGCTATTTAATATTTACCATGTATATTTCATTGAGGAGTCTTAACACTCAGAACCCAATTTTTTATCATGAAGGTTTTCAAACACAGACACAAGAAAGACTAATTCAGTGATCACTAGGTACCATCCACTTAGATTCCGCAACTGTTGGCATTCTGCCATATTTGTGTTATCTTTTCCTGAGTCCTTGAAGCTGTAGATGCCATGACCTTTCAGTCATCGTTTAGCCTGAATCTCATGCATCATCCTGCCTGTCAAGATTACACCTAAGAAAATGAACAGTGTGCCCCTGAGACTAGCTACTTTGTTGTCCAGAACCAGATTTTCCCAGAAGGTGTGATATTCTGGATTTGTCTGGAATGTTTCCTTGTGATATTTAATTTTGACTGCTTGATTTTGGATGTGCAGGGGGCTGGGTCTGGAGGATTGATCAGGTTCAGGTTGAACAGTTTTGGCAAGGGTGTTTCATGTAGGTCGTGCCGTGTATTTGCATCACAGCGGCATGTGCTAACCAGTTCACCCATTACTGCTTCCAAACTTGCTTGCTTGCAGTGGTGCCTCCCACAGCCCTCTATTGTAAAGTACCTTTTCCCTTTGAGATTTCCAGCCTACCCTCCTGTGAACAACCTCAAAGTCAGCACATTCCTAGTTAATCTTGCAAGAATCCAGTGGGATTCATGTACGGCCATGTCTGGGGTTAGGGCGATGAGACTTGGGATCCAGCAGGAAACACTGTATTTGGTTTAGGAACAAATGAACAAGATAAGACTGATTTTTCTTGTATGACTCAAAGGGTATTCCTACAAGAGAAATTATGCAAGTACTTTTAATGAGCATCCATGGTCATCGTGACTTCAGTATCCATTTGTGTGTATACCTGGGTTTGCAACCTAGGATCGCACTTTGTGGTTGTACTGTTCATGAAGTATGACGCTAGAATCATACTTTGTTATGTCTGAGTGTGTAGGCAAAGCTCACTACCTAAGAGGGAAAACGAGAGACTGCCTGGGGGTAGTCTGGCTTCTCCTATGGCCTCGTGAGTAATGTCTCTCATGGGAACTGAGTTGAGAAGTGAGTCACACTCTGTGCCTGGCTTTTCAGATTCCAGAGTCTCCCCCCGGCCATGCGCATGTGAGTTCCCCAGCAGGCCCCGCGCACACTCACTGGGCGGTGCCCTCCAGCAGCAGCCGCTTCACATGTAGCCGTTTGTGCGTCCAGGGTGTTAGCAAACTCCCCTTTGCCCAAAGTTGCCTGCCTTCTAAAATGCTAAGTGACTGTACCACATGCTTCACGGGCAGTGAGGATTTAATATTAGATGAATAAATCCCTTCAGGACTCAAAACTATAAAGGGGAGGGGGCGGTGTTCGGCACAGCGTTAAGCCACCGCTTGGAGTGCCTGAACCCCATGTCGCGGTGCCTGGGTTTAAATCCTCTCCGTTTGCAATCCCAGCTTCCTGCTAATGTGCGCCCTGGGAGACAGCCGTGATGGCTCAAGCACTTGGGTTCCTGCCACGCAGGTGGCAGAGCTGGATTGAGTTGTGGGCTTCTTGCTTCTGCCTGGCCCAGCCCTGGCTCTTGTGGGCCTTGGCCGGGGAGTGGGGGTGGTGGTGAAGCAGTGGCTAGAAGACCTCTGCCTCCCTCCCTCTCTTCCTTCCTCCCTCCCTCCCTCCCTCCCTCTCTCTCTCTCTCTCTCCCTTTTGAATATTTTTAGAAGAACTCTAGAAGTACAGATTTAATAAAAGGAGCATCATTTCAGAAATCTCGGAATCACGTGTTTATGAAAGATGCTGCCTGTTCACTGGTGAGCAGCCTGACTCTGGGCCTCTGACCTGGTAGCCGAATCACACAGTTTCTCACCGGACTGCTATCATTCAGTTACAACATGGAATCCATGCAGCTGTGCCGCTTGCAACTCTGAGCTCCAAAATTATGCAATAAGTCCTTACCCATCATGCTTTAGACATGAGGAAGTTTAAAGAACCTCAATCTTAGCCTGTTTTCTTCTTCTTCTTTTTAAGGAATTGATGCATACATTAGATTCTCAGGATTACAGCAAATGCATGATAAGTACACATACAGTTTTCATCAGTTTTCTCTTTCATGTGATTTTAACACAAGGAGAACAGGTTCAGTGTAGTCCATAGATACAATTCTAGGAATATAGTGATACTTTTCCCTCCCTTCCTTCCTCACCCTCTCCTTCCATCTTCCTTTCTTTCCTTTATTTTTAATTTTAATTTTTTAATTTTCCTTTCTTTTTCAATTTTAATAGCATGTTTTCAGTTTACATTATCATCAAAGGCTGTCTGCTCCATTGAAGAGTTCAATAAGTAAAAAGCAAAAAGAATGAGCAAAAAGACATGAACAATAATCAAATGAGAAGATGTCCATTTCACTCATATCCAGTAACTTTTAAAGTAATCACAGATCATTAAAACTACAGTAGTATATCTATATATATTAACTACCAGAAAGAAGAGAAAATGTGATATCTTTCTCTCTTGGGTCTGGCTTATTTCACTGAGCATAGTGATCTCCAATTGCATCCACTTTGTTACAAAGCCTGTGGAGCCTGCTCTCTTGTGGCAAGGAGTCATTCTAGGGGCATTTAACAGATAAGCCTCTTTTTTCTTTCTTTTTTTTTTTGGAGTATAACATTTTAGAAAAATCCTATGTGTATATGCTGAGGGATTTTCATACAGTGACATACACATGTAACCATCACCCTGGCCAAGAAGACAGAGAATATTCCAACATCTTAGGTGCCCTCTCGCAGGTCACACTCACACCCAGTTCACCCAGTGTTGCTGTGGCTTCTAGGGCTATAGGTTAGCTTTGATTCAACAGTCACATTCCACATTCCACACCTGGCCTCCCGGCATTCTGTGAGTGAGTGAGTGAGTGAGTGTATGTGTGTGTGTAGAGGGGCAGATCTTCAGTAGGACTCTGATTGTGAATCCCTGGATAACCATTGCAGCTACAAAAGTTATCTATCCAGGGGGATCTGTAACAAAAACCTTCATCAGAAACGTGCCTTGGAAGGGCCGCTGTGTGGTACCGCCGTAAAGAGCCCTGCATCCCATATTGAAGTGCCTGCATTGAAATCCGAGCTCTGCTTTCAATTCCAGCTTCCTGCTGGTGCACCTGGGGAGGCAGCAAGTCGTTGGGTCCCTACCACCCACCAGAGACCGAGATGGAGTTCTTGGCTCTCAGCTTCAGCCTATCCTGGCCGGGGGCTGTTGCGGGCTCGCTCGTGCGCGCGCTCTCTCTCTCTTCCTTCCTCTCTCGCTCCCTCCCTCCCTCCCTCCCTCTCTCCCCCTCCTCTCAGTTCAAAAGAAAGATGTGTGCCTTCTCAAAATTGGGAGCAAGAGAATTGCAAAGAGGAGGAGCATCAGACCTGTTTTGCTTGTAGAAGATTTCATTTGTATACAGTATACATGCATCCTCTTCTTGGCATGGTGTCTGGAGGGTATCCCAGGGGCCAGTGCTCATAAGGAATCAGAGTGCTTGCCTGACCGGCTGGCCAGAATCCCACATTTGTTTGCAAAGAGGGCTCATTCACCCCTGTCTTGCGGCAGGTGCTGTTTTCAGGGGCAGTTCTAACAGGCACGATTTTCTGCTTTCGTGCTTCGAGCACAACAGAGGCGGGCGGGGCTGCCAAGCTCCTGAAGCAGAAGTGACAGCTGCCAAGCCTGATAGAAGGTGTGGTGTTGAAAAGCCCTGAGAATCAGAACCAAGAACACGGGGAGCTGCACGGCCTGGGAACAGGCAGCCCGCTGGCTGCCCCGGCCCCAAGCTTTCAGTAAGGCTCACCGTGATGATCTTGAGCCACTGCACAAGAAGAGACCCCGCCCGCTGCACCCCCTGTCAGGAGGATGCTCGCTGCCCACGGCTGATCGGGAGCCTGGTCGTGGAGTTGGCTTGGGTCAGCCCTGCCTTTGGCACTTGCAGCTGTCTGGCCTGGGGCAGTTTACTTAATCTCATCTGCAAAGTGGGAGTAGCAGTCTTCCTTCCTCTCTTAGCATTGCTGTGAGGATGCTGTGAAATTCTGGGCTGCCCCCAGCTCTGGGGAGATGTTAGCTGTTAGTGATTTTTGACACGTTGCAGATGGGTAGGTAGGACACTCCATTCTTTGCCTTTTAAAACCAGGCTTGAGATTTCCTAGCCAGGGCCTCTCTACATACATACAGTGCAACAAGATACCTCCTTTTTGTTTTTTTTTTCTTTAGGATTGACTAATTAATTTCAAGGGCAGAGTTAAAGAGAGGGTGGGGAGAGACAAAGAGAGATCTTTCATTTGCTGGTTCACTTCCCAAATGGTTACCATGGCAGAGCTGTTCCAGGCTGAAGCCAGACCACGAGCTCCATTCAGGTCTCCCAAATGGGTGGCAGGGGACCAAGAACTTGGGCCATGCTCCGGTGCATTAGCAGGGAGCTGGATTGGAAGCAGAGCAGCCGGGACTCGAATTGGCACCCCAATTTGGGATGCCAGCATTACTACCGTGCTGTTTCCCATAACTCACTTTCTTAGTTGGAAGTAACAGAGGCACTTATACTTAGAGGCAATGAGTCTAAATTAAAACCAGCGAGCAAAGCCAGACATAGGAAAATGAAATGTCGGGAAGAGGCACACAGGATGCCTAGTACCTCCTTGCGTGGAAGGTCACTCTGTGTGTACCTCTCATCTCTGGGGTCCGAGTGGTCTCTCGGCAGCGGGGTGCTATGCACCTGAGGGCAGGAAAAACCAAAGTAAGTGATGCGCTGTGTCTGTTTTCTCCTCCCATGGTGGCTGTAGATGGCTGATTTATGAAGAACCCGGATTTCAAGGGGTCCCTTTCATCCTGGAGCCCGGAGAATACCCTGACTTGTCCTTCTGGGACACGGAGGAAGCCTACATCGGATCCATGCGGCCGCTGAAAATGGTAAACGTGAAGGCAGCCTGAGCGTGGTCGAAGGCGGTGGTGCCCCGTCAGCTGGCCCACCATCCTTTGCGGGGTGTGACTGCAGTAATGCAGCCGACTCTTTCAAAACATCTGTAGTAGACGGCACCTCTGGCTTCGTAGCCATAAGAGAGTCGATAACTTGCCAGGGGCCACCAGTAAACAAAAGGAGAGGCTGTGGCCTTGGCCCTGGAGGCAGTGCCGGCCTTGCACTGCAGGTGTAGGAACTTCAGCCCAGTGCAGGTGTCTTAAGTGAAGTGGCTGAAGAATCAGACATTTGTGGACAACAGGAGGAAGGAGGGATAAAACGCGAATGTGTGGGTCAAGTGACAGTGTGCGATGATGAGGAAGGCATCATGATAAGCTGGTCTTTAAAAATGAGCAAGGATTAGGGGGGTGTTGGCATCTGGTGCAGCGGTTCAAAGGAATTTGGGAATCTGGGTGTGGCTTATTTTGACAAAGGTACGAATATGAGATGTTCACAGCAGGGAAATTAGAATGAGGTAATACTCTTTGTATTACTACCTCAACAACTTCTGTTTCATAAATTTAAAACTATTCTGAATTTTTTAAAAAAAGAAGATGACTGTATCCCACACTGGAGTACCTAGATTTGATGCCTGGCTCCAGCCTTCTGCTACTGCAGTGCTGGGAGACAGCAGGAGGTGGCTCAAGTACTTTGGTTCCTGCCACCATGTTGGGGACCTGGATGGAGCTCCAGGCTTCTGGCTTCTGCCTGGCCCAGCCGTGGTCACTGCAGCCACTGGGGAAGTGAACCAGTGGATGGGAGCTCTAGCTGTCTCTCTCTCTGCCTCTCAAATGAGTGAAAAATGTATTTTGGAAGAGGAGGTTAGGGTGATTGTAGATGGAGCTATCAGGGAAGGCACTGCATGAGCCAGAGTGCACAGCTGGGAAAGGGCCCGTGGAGGGCCGGCCCTGGGGCAGGGAGGAGGCTGGGCACAGCAGTTAAGGGGCTGCTTGGGATGCCCACATCCCACGCTGGCTCCACTTCTGATCCAAGCCTCCTGGTAACTTAGCATGCCCTGGGCTGCAGCACATGGGAGACCTGGATGGAGTTCCTGGCTCCTGGCTTCAGCCTGGCCCAGCCTTGGCCATCGTGGCCATTTGGAGGAGTGAACCAATGGATGGGAGATCTCTCTTGGCTTCTCTCTCAAATAAAGTTCACAATCTAAACAAACAGAAAACCAAAAAGAGTGAGGCGCTTGTTACCAGCATGTTTTGGAAACTCACTTTGCAGTTGTTTTCAAAGCCCGTCTGAGGAAGTTAGGATGCCAGCGTTGTACCCTAAATTTACCTCTCCTGACAAAGCATTTGGTTTAATTGTCTGCATGTTTGCTGAACTCAACACAAAGGAGTTGTTTTTTTTTTTTTTTTTTCCTAAGAGGAAACCCACTTTCAAAGAGCAAAGTTTTGTTAGGCGTGTGACTGTATCAAAGAATTCTCCCAGGTTTCGAAAACAGTAGTATGTAATAATGATTTTAGAACCCTGAGATTGATGGTGTTTGAAAAGGATTACTTTAGCAAAGGGACTTACTTGGCTGTGTAAGCACTGGCTTGCTGAGAAAATCAGCCACAGGCCTTTGTAATTTGAATTCCTCTGATGCATTTGAGTATCTGTAGCTGCACCTTTTATAAGCTGTCACCTTTTGTAAGCTGTGGAGGTGTATAGGTGAAAAATATTCTGACTTTCTCACTGCTGATTTCAACTCTTGACCTGTTTAATGTTTTTTGGAGTACCTCTTCTCTGGTTTATTTGGGTAGTTTGGTGAGAAACCTTCAAAACCTTTTTTTTTTTTTTAAGATTTATTCATTTATTTGAATCAGAGTTACACACAGAGAGAAGAGAGGCAGAGAGAGAGATCTTCTATCCGATGGTTTACTCCCCAATCGGCCGCAATGGCCAGAGCTGTGCCGATCTGAAGCCAGGAGCCTAGAGCTTCTTCTGGGTCTCCCATGCGGGTGCAGGAGCCTAAGGACTTGGTCCATTTTCTACTGCTTTCCCAGGCCATAGCAGAAAGCTGGATCAGAAGTGAAGCAGCCAGGACTCGAACTGGCGCCCAGATGGGATGCCGGTGCTTCAGGCCAGGCGTTAACCCACTGCGCTACAGTGCCGGCCCCACCTTCAAAACCTTTAAAAAGTTTGTTTGTTTATTTATTTATTTATTTATTTATTTTTATTTTTTTTGACAGGCAGAGTGGACAGTGAGAGAGAGAGACAGAGAGAAAGGTCTTCCTTTGCCGTTGGTTCACCCTCCAATGGCCGCCGCGGCCAGCGCGCTGCGGCCGGCGCACCGCGCTGATCCGATGGCAGGAGCCAGGAGCCAGGTGCTTTTCCTGGTCTCCCATGGGGTGCAGGGCCCAAGCACCTGGGCCATCCTCCACTGCACTCCCTGGCCACAGCAGAGGGCTGGCCTGGAAGAGGGGCAACCGGGACAGAATCCGGCGCCCCGACCGGGACTAGAACCCTGTGTGCCGGCGCCGCTAGGCAGAGGATTAGCCTAGTGAGCCGCGGCGCCGGCTTTTTTTTTTAATTATAAAAAGATAACAAGCCTCCCCCCTCTTCTACCCCAGACCCATGCTTGGCAACGTTTGAAATTTTGCCTACTTGTTTGTCTAATTATTCCAGTAGTTCTCCAGAGCTTACTGAATGAGCCTCAACAGCTTTGTAGGCAGTTGGTTGCAAAATTAAATGCCTCCAGGAGTCGGCTGCAAGTACACATGGGTGAGGCTGTCTGGGAGTTGCACCAAAGGGAGTGGTGGGGCCAGGCAAACTGGGGCCTGTGCCAGGCTGAACGATGAACCCAGTGTGGGATTAACAAATGCTGAAGGTCAAGGTGGGGATCCAGGTCCCCAGACATTAGCTTTTAGGATTATTTATCAAGAGCAGTGAGAAATTCAGATTTTTTTTTTTATTTGAAAGACAGAGTTAGAGAGAGAGACCTTCTGTCTACTGATTCACACCCCAAGTAGCTGCAAAGACTGGAAGACTGGGGCTGGGCCAGGCTGAAGCCAGGAGCCAGGTGCCCACATAACTGGCAGTGCCCCAAATACCTAGGCCATCTTCTGGGAATGCAGGTGCATTAGCAGGGGGCTGGATTGGAAGTGAAGCAGCCAGGACTCAAACTGGCACCCATATGGGATGCCAGCATCACAGGCAGTGGCTTTACCTGCTATGCCACAATGCCAGCCCCGAGAAATTCAGAATTTTATGAGAAGTTTTGTTGAGTTAAAAAGAATTAAGTGAAAAAGACACACTGAACATGCAGATTCTGCTTACACAACAGACCACTGTGAGAGACTACTCTAACGGGGCTTTCTCTTGTGTCTTCATGTGCCTGAGGGCAATTTTAGAACTGTTGCACAGACATTAAACTGGGAGGGTTGGCGCTGTGGCATAGCAGGTAAAGCCATTGCTAGGATCCCATATAGGCACCAGCACTCCACTGCTGGTCTAGCTCCCTGCTGATGGCCTGGGAAAAGCAGTGGAAGACAGCCCAGGTGCTTAGGCCCCTGCTGCCCACGTGGGAGACCTGGATGAAGGTCCTGGCTCCTGGCTTTGAAACATTTTGGCCCAGGCCACTGCAGTCATCTGGGGAATGAATCAGTGGATAGAGCATCTCCGTCTCTCCCTTTCTGTCACTCTGCCTTTCAAATAAATAAATAGATCTTAAAAAAAAAAAAAAAAAAACTGGGATGCATTTATGCTGTGAGGTTCATCAGCTCACCACAAACTGCTGTGGGTGATATACAATGGTTTATGTGTCAGTGGGAAACTGTTTTTCTTTGTTGTTTTTCTTTCCAGGGTGGCCGTAAAGTTGAATTCCCTACAGATCCCAAGGTAAACACATACACACACACACCCACCCACCATCTATCCCCACTCTGTCTCCATGCAGATCATGCTTGTGTGGCTTCACATACAAACCTCCGTCAAACGTAATTACAGCGGAAGGAAACTCAGCTCACACGTGCCATCCTTCAGGCTAGAGCAGGGTGCTAATCATGCTGGTCATCACTAACAGGATGTGTAGCCGTGGCTCAAAGCGTTCATTGTTAGGTTTGTAATTGGTGGTTATATTTAACATTCTAAATGCCACTTCTAGGCACTGAACAAAAATAAATTAACAAAAAACAGGCTTTTGAAACTTGGCTTTGGGCTATACCACACCAGGGAAAACAGCCTTTTTTTTTTTTTTTTTTGCTACATTATCATAGGTTGGGATCTAGTTAATTTTTAAAAACATGATTCAGAGGTTTAATTTGTGTTCCAGGACTTAATGATATCAAATGACTGATTGAATATTTATCTGTCAGGATATTTAACTCCTTGCGACTTGTGGCTGTGTCTCATCTCCGTTGTAGGTTGTTATTTATGAAAAGCCTTTCTTTGAGGGGAAATGTGTGGAGCTGGAGACAGATATGTGTAGTCTTAGCGTGGAAGGAGGTGAGACGGGAGAAACGGCAGGAGACGCTTGTCTGCCATTGTCATCGGTGGGCTCCATGAAAGTCCTGAGAGGCATGTGAGTAGACGAGGGTCACCGAGCACCGCTTCTTTTCCTTAACAAGGCACTGCACATGCCTCCCTCCCCTCCCCCGCAAAGGTACCGTGGTGTCCACGCCTGTCTCCATGTTCTCTTCGGCCTGGCGTGGGTGGGGTCCCCTGGCAAAGGCCAGTGATGACCTGGCCTGTCCTGATCGCGGACACCTAGGGTCTCCGTTATTGGAATGATCTCCAAACTACTGAATTGTTAGTGCTTTCTAACGTTCATTGTTTTGCATTTATAGATTTTTAGCCATTCCCTGCAGATGCACACACTGAAATGGGTCATAGAAATAGTCAAAAATTCATAAAATTGTAATGACTACTTGAAGAAAGTCTAGCTTCACTTCTCTGGTGTTCTTTTGAGTCTGTTCTTATTAAACATACACGCACACATGGGCTTGTGCACATGCGTTCCCTACGCGCCCTTGCGGAACTGTGAGGTAGGGTCCAGCCTGTTCCTCTCCCAAATTTTAGAGAATTCAAATACTAATACAGAAGTTCACCTGGAGCTTCGTAACTATTTGTATCTGTCAATAAAACGGAGATGTACACGGGGAAATTTCAGTGTCTGAAAGCAACTGCTTCTTCCTGTTCTCTCTCTGCAGCTGGGTGGCTTATGAAAAGCCTGGCTTCACAGGCCATCAGTATTTGCTGGAAGAGGGAGAATACAAGGACTGGCAAGACTGGGGCGGTTACAGTGGAGAACTCCAGTCTCTACGGCCCATTTTAGGTGTAAGTTCTCAAGAAGCTAGTGGCTAAAACCTGGTCTGTTTTGGATAATAGTTGGCCAGCTTTTGAATTTTGAATTTTTTTTTCTCAATAGGACTTCTCAAATGCTCATATGATAATGTACAGTGAGAAAAACTTTGGATCCAAAGGTTCCAGTATTGATGTGTTGGGAATTGTCGCTAATTTAAAGGAGACTGGATATGGAGTGAAGACACAGTCTATTAATGTACTGAGTGGAGTGTAAGTAAAATAATTCAATTGGAATTTTCAGCATGGATTTCACCTTGGTTTGTGTTAAACCAATAGAACCTTTGACATCAAATAAGCTCTCAATAAGTATGTCAGTAGCTAAACAGTAATTCAGGCATTTTAATACATGGCCACAACATTTTCCTAATTTTATTAAAATGTCTCATATGATATTTTTTTTTTTAAATGTAGCAAAACATTGGAGTAGGCTTTTGGGTGCACCTCATGATGGAGAGCCACAAATCTGCTTCCCTTGTCGATCTGCATGGAACAGCATGCATTTCTGATTATGGGAATTGAGCAACAGTAGTAACCTGACATGGCAGCCTGCGGTGGGACCAAGTCCCATTAGATCGCCCGACTTGCCACCCCTGCTCCAGTGCATTTCCTCGCTGTCGTTTGGACATAAACGTGATTGTTTCAGTGTCCTTGGAGTTAGCAGTTGAGTGCTTTACGAGTGACAGAACAAGTTCACGTTGAACGGTGATCAGTGAGGACTCTCTGGCACGCAGGTGACAGCAAGCCAAGCTAAACTGGCTCAGGCGACTATGTAACCAGAACTCCGGGGGAAGATTCCGCTTCTGGCCTGGCTGGATGCAAGGGATCAAACTCGGTGCTCAGAATGTGGTCTCTGCCTCCTGACCGGGTTTCTTTTTCTTCTGTTGGCTTCACCTTAGGCGGGCTCTTTTCCTCTGCTGGCCTAGAGCTGCATCTGACCTTTGTTCTCGCTCAGTGCTTACAGTGAAAAGGGCTGCTCTCTCCCTCGGAAGTGCCAGTTTTGACTTTGATGCCTGAGTCATGCGCACGTGCTCGAGCCAAGCCCCTCAGTCAGGGAGATGGCCGGGCTCGAGTATGCGCCCATTCTGAGAGCTGAGACATAAGGCACGTTGACCCTGGGAGCCGTGGGGAATGATCGGGCAGGGGCTTCCCCGGGAACGCAGGGAGAGCAGGGATAGACACTAGATGGGCAAAACCAGAGCATTGCTGGGAGTCGCGTAAGTATTTGTGTGACCCATGCTGGTGTTCCTTCTACGTTCTGGAAAGTGAGAGTCTCCCTAAATGCTCACGTGAGGTAATCTGACATTGGTTCTGTTGCAAGTGTTTGATGCCATCCATGCATGACCTAGGCTGTTTGAGTCATTCTATTGTACTTCATGGGGCCTCCCACAATAGCCTGGATATGTGGGATGTGTCGACGAGGTAATATACCTTGACTATTACTCACGCTCACCAAATCTAAGCAGCGTAGGCTATTGCTTGTGGTGCCACCTTTCGGCAGAATGACATCCATGACTTCTGAGTCTTCCCTTCTTGGAAGGAAATGCCTTCTCTCGGGGCCTGTTTTGAAGCCCTGGCGTTTCAGAATCCTGGTGGGTGATTTGCAGAAGGCCGAGGTCATCTGGAACGTTGCTGCGGCTCTGCAGTATCACAGGTTGTCTTTACTGATTATTCCTTAGAAGGCAAATGCCGCGACCTGCTCAGGCTGCTGAAACTGACCAGGTGTGTTGGTTCCATTGCTGAGAGGCCAGTCATCCAGCCCAGCAAAGGAAGCAAAGGGATGCTGCGTAGAATCCTCTTGGGGCATTTATGTTGATTATGCTGGTAGCACAGGTGGAATTACTGTGCACGGACCTGTCTCCTTTCCTTTTTCCCCAGCCCTTGCTTAGAGGAAGCTGGTTTCCTTTATACAATGTTGCTTTTATGTGAGTCATTTCTAGTTGTTCAGAAGGTTTCCTGGCTTATGCATTCTGGTTGTAGTCGTTGGATTTCATGTTGTGGGGGGAGTTGAAGGGGACGCATGTACGCACACACGCACCTGCACACACACTCATCCAATGGGTGCCTCTTCTTACGGTCTGTGGACGTGGAGAGGCTTCCGCACATACCAGCGCCAGCTGCTTCCTTCTATTTCAACTTGACTTTTGACAAATATTTACGGAGGCCTGTTCTGTGCAAAGCAGTTATAGTTGTTCTTCCTACCAAAGAGGTACAGACTGAGTGCTTTGGGGACCTGCTGCAGAGAGAGCTTACTTTCCAGACTCAGGGTAGGACAGCTGAGATGGCTCGTGATGAGAGCGGGAGACTAGTCTCACAGGCAGTGATTTTGTTTTAATGGCTTTCTTTTGATAAATAAGCATCTTAGTTTAGTTCTTTATTCTTTAGCATGGAACCCAAAGTAAAAACAAAACCAAAAATGTTTTTGCAATTCATGTTCTGTGGCAGTGTCTACCAGGTGCCCCTGGTCACGTGGGTATCAGCTGTGGAGCAGTGAGCAGCTTTTGGGAAGAACCCTTAGGAACCCAGCAATCGAAGGCTTAGAAGGTGCATTCCCCTGTGTGCAGTGGCTCAGAGCAAGGACAGTGAGGAGTTCCCTCGAGTGCCAAGTATAAGCTGTCAGCAGGCTCCAGGTCACAGAGCAGAGAATCTTGATCTGGATTGCTGGGGTTCACCTCTCTGCCCCTCGTATTCATGGGTGACTCATCCGGGGCTGCATCATGGGGTGACAACAGCACTGTGTCAACGCAGGTCCCATCTCACTGCCTTGTTCTCCCGCTTCGGCAGCTTGGCCTCAGCTGGGTGTCGTGTGCCACCTCACAAGGAGTAGTTTTGTAGGGAAATGCAGGCTGCATGCTTGCGAGGAGGCAGCCCTGCCAGTGCTGCTTCTGGGACCATCCTGGCTGCTGTCTTCTCTGCTGTGGGCTCTGGCCTCCCCTCCTCACTGGCTGATGGCCCTCCAAACCTGGATTCCACACGGCCCATGACACTCTGTTCTCTAACTCATGTCAGATCTTCCTGCCAAGCAGCCAGTGTACAAAGTGTATAGACTGTTTAGGTAATTTCAAAATATTTATTTGTTTGAAAGGCAGAGTGGCAGAGAGAGAGAAGGAGAGACAGAGATGTTTTGTCTGCTGGTTCACTCCCCCAGTGGCTGCAGTGACCACAGCTGGGCCAGGCTGAAGCCAGAAGCCTGGAGCTGCATCCAGCTCTCTCACGTGGGTGGCAGGTACCCAAGTATTTGAGCCATCTTCCATTGCCTTCCCAGGAGCATTAGCAGGGAGCTGGACTGGAAGTGGGGCAGCGGGGGCTGAAACTGGTGCTGTGATCTGGGATGCTGGCATTGCAGGGGGTGGCTTAGCCTCCTGCAGCCATGATGCCGGCCCCAGGTATGGTTTGATAGAACAGTCAGTGGAAGGGAACCGTGGCACCTGGCAGCTCGGGTCACAAAGCAAAGGAGAGGGCGGTTAGCCTCAGAAGGCGCAAACCTGTTCTGGCCATGGATCGACTGTGTCCCCCTGTTTGGATCACTTTTTGTCCAGAACACTCACTGCTCAGAAGTCCCACTGGATGCTGCGTTCCCACCTGTGAACACTGCAGGGAAAGGATGCTGTCTTTTGCCTCTTTGTATTCCAAGTGTGAGCCTGGCTGCTGGCCTGTGGCAAATGGGCAGTTTACTGAATGCATACGGTCCTCACATCTGTGACGTGGGAGCACGGGCTTCAGGATGATGGCAGATGTGGGAGCGCTTTAGACCGTTCCAAGCACCGTGCAGGTTCAGGTGCCGTTCTTGCAGGCAGCAAGCACCATCAGAGCGGTGCATTAACTGAGTGGGCGCTGAGTATGTGTGCCTGTAACAGATGGAACCACTTTCCTCCCTTCAAAGACTCTGTCCTGAGATAGGAAACAGTGTCATCACTTGGCTTTGTTGATTTTCCTTTGAGTGTAGATCACTTAAAAGATAACAAATGAAAACATCCCTCAAAGAGATTTGTCTAGTATTCCTGGGAGTTTGTTCAGTTTTGCTTATTACATAAGTGTGTCTTCGTGGAAATACTTACTGAAACAAAAGTTGAGTTCCTTCGCTACATTTTGTGTAGCATTTTTTTTTCTGTTGACTCTCCTCCCTGCTGTGTGGGTGGTTTGTGGTGTAACAGAGATGTTGCTTCCTGCCAGGATCTTCCGGCAACATTGTTTCAGTATTGAAACACAAAGAATCCTTGCTTATTAAAGAACCAGGTTCTTCTTAGTCCAGTTTGCTTGTTTAATGGAATTAGGAAAACACAAAGTATCCCCACTGGAGCTTTCTCAAGGACTAGGATTTGATAAATGAAGACCTCAAGAGTTGACATCGACAGATTTCCTTTAACACTTTCATTTGTCACGAAGATAAGTCTGTCTGCTCATAAAGGTTAATGGAGAATCAGAAAAATTAAGGAGCCTGCTTAGTCAAACAAATGGAAACTTCTGAACAGTGCATCTGAGGACAGTGTGACAGTTTGATGTGTAAAATATGAACTCCACTAAGAAGGTGTTTTTCTTTCTTTAGATGGGTAGCCTATGAAAATCCTGATTTCACAGGAGAGCAGTATATACTGGATAAAGGCTTATACACTACTTTTGAGGACTGGGGAGGCAAAAATTGTAAGATCTCTTCCGTTCAACCTATAAGTTTGGTAAGGAGTTATATTTTTAAATGAGGATATTTAACTGAATTTGGACTTCTGTAATGTGTGCTTCTGGTTCATATAACATTGACTGTAATGAAAAATACTCAGATTATTTTTAACAGTAATTGCGATGATCTGGGAGGGAAAAAAAAACTGCTTTCCAACATGTTTGTTCCATTCATTCCCTTTTTTCTTCCTTTCAACATTTTTAGGATTCTTTCAATGGGCCAAGGAGACGAAATCAGGTAACTTTAAAATATGTTATATTTTATAAATGGGAGGCTTCCCTTGAGGAAGCTGAACTTACATGTAAAACATCAGACATTTGAGACATTTTGCTAGTTTTATCCATTTTTATTCCTGAAAGCACAATTATATTTTAAAAATGGAATTTAAGTTGACTTTAATGCTTAATTGACAACACTGACTCATGTCTAAAGATTTCTGATAAAATGCTCATATTTAACATTGAACTTTATAGCATAACATCAAGTCAGAGTTTACATTAATAAACTAAAACTAATATTTCAAACAACAGCATGCAGTTCATCTGCTAAGTAGTAGAGTGAATTTTCCTGTTTGCTGTGTCTGCATCAAACATTTTATATGGTCTCACTCAAGCCCTTTGAATGCTGAGTCTTTAAATCCGCTGAAGCATTACATTTGTTACATGGGCCTTTTACTGGAAGTGTTCAGCCAGCCATAATTACAGGGGCACAGCCACCACCCGCAGCCTCCCGTATGGGCAGGTACAACATTGTCATGAGTCAGCAAGTGTCTTCCATTGAGAGAAGACACCGATACTACCTGTTTCCAAAACAGGGATCACTGCTAATGTGAGGACTGGGGACCACGGCAAAGCTTTAAAGTGGCTCACGGCTTGTTAACAAGAGGGTGTTCCACTGAAAGTCGCTTCTGTTGTTGGCTTGTCCTTTGATGCCTCTGAATTAAAACAGCCATGAACGGCGCAGCCAGCGTGTTTCTAACTGGTCATTAGTGCAGAAACAGAAAAGTGCAGCATTCATAAAATTCACACCAAGTTACCACGATGAGCGCTAACACGGCACGGGAGGGTCATCATTTCACAAGCTGTAGTTTGCGACTTTAGGAAAATCATTTTGTGTGTGTTTCTGCTTTCTCAAAGATCCACTTGTTTTCGGAGCCACAGTTTCAAGGTCACTGTGAAATTTTTGAAGAAACAACAAGTCAAATTGACGACTCATTTTCTACCAAGTCTTGCAGAGTTTTAGGAGGCAGGTGAGCAACACAGTGGTGTGACAGAGCCAGACCTCTGGGGTAAGAGAATTCCCACGTCGGCAAGAACCTAGGGACACCCATTGAGTGCCTGGCCCTCTGCAAATCCACCACCTTAGCTGGAAAGTGTGCTTGAAGTCACAAGACATATGGGTGCCAATGTGGGTTGGGGAAGCTGAAGATCACCTCCTTGTGCAATGGAATTCAGGCCACGATTTTTTTTTCCCTTTAAAGATTGGTTTATTTATTTGAAAGGCAGAGTTACAGAGGGAGAGACAGAGAGAGAGATCTTCCATCTACTGGTTCACTCCCCAGATGGCCACAACAGCCAGGCCAAAGTCAGGAGCCTGGAATGCCATTTAAGTCTCCCAAATGGGTGGCAGTGGCCCCAAGCACTTGGGCCATCTTCTGCTTTCCCAGGTGCATTAGCAGGGAGCTGGATTGGAAGCAGGGCAGCCGAGACTCAAACCGGTGCTCATATGGGATGCCCACGTCACAGGCGTTGGCTTAACCCACTGTGCCACAGTGCTGGCCCCAGACCAGGTTCTGTGCTCTCTACACACTCCATCATCTGTAACGGGAGAGCTGCACTCTAGATATTTGCTAAGGTTCCTCTCCAGGAACCTTCGCTTTTTTTTTTTTTTTTTTTAAAGATTTATTTATTTGAAAAGCAGAGATACAGAGAGAGAGGGAGAGGGAAAAGAGAGAGAGAATATCTTTCATTTGCTGGTTTACTTCATGGATAGCCAGGGCTGAGCCAGGCCAGTTAGGAGCCTGGAATTCCATCTGGGTCTCCCACGTGGACGCAGGAGCCTAAGCGTTTGGGCCATCTTCTGCTCTCCCAGGCACATCAGCAGGGAGCTGGCTTGGACGTGGAGCAGTTGGGACTCGAACTGGCACCTATTTGGGATGCCAGTGCTGCAGGCAGTGGCTTACCCACTACACCACAGCGCTGGCCCCCTAGATTTTCTTTTAGACAGGTAGCTAGGAATAGAATGGGCACGCTGCATGATTGGCTAGTGAAGATAAGTCCATGGCTGGAGGGCAGTTGGTCTCCCCGGGGCTTTGTGCTGGGGAGGAGAGCCGGGTTGGACTGGGAGGGGATGGTGGGATCAGGCTGTAAGAATCCCCCAGGCGTGTTGAATTTCGATGGATGCAGTAGAAAACAAGACAGGACCGGCAGCGGGCTCAGAGGGCCCTGCAGAACAGCGCAGTGGGACAAAAGCTCCAGTACAAAAGGGAGAGCCCCAGGCTAAGGGAACTTAGGAACCCTTAGGAGCACTCCGTGCCTCGCACTGATAATAACAGTATTGGTGCCTTTCATCATGGAGGTTTGTTCTTAAGATTTATTTACTTATTTGAAAAATAGAGTGACAGAGCAGGAGAGACAAAGAGAAATTTTCCATCCACTGTCTCACTCCCCAAATTGCTGCTAACAGCTGGGGTTGGTCTAGGCCCAAGCCAGGAGCCTGGAACTCCATCCTGGTCTCCAGCATGGGTGCAGGGGCCCAAGCACTTGGATCATCCCCTGCTACCTTCCCGGGTGCACTAGCAGGGAGCCGGATCAGAAGTGGAGCAGCTGAGAGTTGAACCGTGAAGCTGGCTGCAATCAGAGGTCTTTATGGTCCACAGAGCACTGTCCCACCATGTAGCCTTGCACAGGGACTGAGCACTGGTTTTGCATTCAGACACTGACTAGAGGTAAAACTTCACACCTCTCCACACAGCCCAGCTCCTCTTTATCCCGCCTACCCTGCTTCTTATTCTGGCCAGACTTCCAGAGAACAAGGAGCTGGGTTTGTTCTCTGCTGAATCTCTGGCCACAGAAAAGTACCTGCTACACAGTGGGTCCCTAGCAAGCATGCGTTGGGTTTGGACAACAGAACACAAGGCCCTCTGGAGAGGCATCACCAACCCAGCTTATCCTTCCACGGGAGGCCTGGAGAGACCAAGCCCCTGGGATGTCCTGGCTCCTGGCCCAGGGCAGAGGGGCTGGGAGTGTTCGGAGGGTCGGGGAGGAAAGCAGCAGGCCCTGATGCCCGAGTAGCTACAGCAGTTGCAGCAGGTGGTTCTTCAAAACGAACTCGAGGGCTCGAAGCAACCTTGGATGGCAGCCTGGTAGCAGGTTGAGAGGAGCAAGGCAGGCGGCAGGTGGAGAGGTAAAAAGTGATTTCGTGGAGAGGTTTTACTTCCCAAATGCAGAGTTAACTGACTTGGCGTGTTAGTTGGTCACAAGATGAAATGCAGTAAGTATGTACGTACGGATGTTTCTGAAGAGCGAGCCCTGATAGCCACAAGTGTTGTACTTAAACTATAGCGAGCTGTCCCTAAAAACGCGTGCGCCTCACAGGAAGTACTCAAGTTGCATACTCAGTGTGTGTGGCTTTTCCTCCCGTAGCTGGGTTGCCTATGATGGAGAGAACTTCTCGGGCAATCAGTATGTGCTGGAAGAAGGTCACTATCCTTGTCTCTCCGCCATGGGATGCCTGCCCGGAGCAACTCTCAAGTCCCTCCGTTTTATAGATGTTGTAAGTATGCCGGCCTGAACGGAGCACTGTGCCAGCGGGTGGGTCTCGGAGCAGGACCCCAGCAGCAAGAACCTGTCGGGGTGAGAGCTGGACGCAGAGGGAGCACAGCTGCCGGGCGCTGCCCGTGCTGTGCCGTTAGGTCCCTGCCCAACTTGAGCGTCACAGATGTTCCTGCCGGCTGCTTCCCAGCCCGGGGGTGGGGTGCTCCGCTAGCTCTGGCCCCCTCCCCACTTCCATCCCTCTCCCCTTCACAGGCACCCATTCTGATGTGTTGGGATACAGCTTGGGTATTCTTGCCAAAGATATTTTCTAAAAACTGTATGTTGGCTTTTAATTCCTATAAACATTATGCTACAGTTCTCATTGCATTATAAACGTAACTGAATGCTTGCATTAACCACTTTTTAAGTTCTGTTTTGCTCTATGTATGTTTATTGATTCTAACTGGCACTAATACCTAGCCACCCTGACTTACCCAGGTAATCCTCAGATGTGTGTCCCTAGGGACCTGCATGGGTGGCTTGGGGCCATGGAGGTGCTGGATTTAACGTATATGAACAGGCAATTTCAGTGTCACCAGCTCCCTCCACTGTAGACTCCCAGCGGTGCTGCCCGTGGGTTCCTGCTTCCCACACTGTCCCCACGTTCTGTCCTCCTAATTTCAGTTTGATAGAATGAGTAGCAGGTTACCACCTCACCACTGGGTCAGTTTGTGGGTTAGAGATCTGTAATCCCTCACCAACTCTGTTTATCACGTGGGCTAATCCAGAATATGGTGCCTCCTTGTGGACAGAAAGCTCTGATAGTGTCAGCGCAGTAATCAGAGCAAAACTGCAAGAGAACACTCAGAAGTTGCAGTCTGGGTATGTCTGTGGTTTTTTCATAAAAAACCTTAAGCGTATGTAATTGGTGATTTTTGTTTTGGGCCTGCCTGTTTAACTGAAATGCTGCCGAGGCAGGAAAACAGCAACAGGCACAGAAAGATGTGATAAACTTCATCAGCTTATAAAGAATGCTGTAAGGCTTTAAGCATTTTTTATTTAATTTTACTTGAAAGGTAGAAGGGGAGAGACAGAGATACACACAGAGGGAGAGAAGCCTCCCGTCCGCTCAGCTGGGCAAGGCTGAGGCTGGGAGCTCAGGCTCCATCTGGGTCTCCGGCACGGGTGGAGGGACCCTACTGGGCTATCACCCTGCTGCCTCTCAGGGTGCACATTATCAGGGAGCTGGAGCTGGAAGCAGAGGCTGGACCTGCACCCAGGAACTCCAATATGGGATGTAGGCACGCCACGTGGCATCTTTTAAGATTTTATTTATTTGAAAGGCAGAGTTGAGGGGGAAGGGGAGGGGGAGGGAGAAGGGTCTTCTATCCACTAGTTCATTTCCCAAATAGCCTCAATGCCAGGGCTGGGCCAGGCGAGAGCCAGGAGCTTCTTCCAGGTCTCCCCCATGGGTGCAGGGGCCCAAGCGCTTGGGCCATTCTCTGCTGCTTTCCCAGGGGCATTACTAGGGAGCTGGATTAGAAGTGGAGCAGCCAGGATGCGAGCCAGCACCCATATTGGATGCCAGCGCTGTAGGCAGAGGCTTAACCCACTGCGTCATAGGGCCGGCCGCCTTTTCAGGTTCAGGTTAGGAAGTGAGGATCATACCCATACAGGGACTGTTCCTCTTGAATTGTGACTCAGTCCTTCAAAATTGTGTGGCTGATTTCTGATACTCACGGTGAGCGTCTGGAACATTTTTCACATGCCATCTCCAAGGAAAGAGAGAGTGTGGTCGTACAAAGCAGAGCCGCTACCACGCTGATTGGTGTCTCCTGGGTACGTTCTCTGTCGCCTGTCCCCACCGCCCTTCCCTTCGTGTCGCCACACCACAGCCCCGCCGCTAAGCTTGAGGCAGGCAGGGCAGTCCCCGAAACCCCACGTGCTCTCCCCACCACTGCTCTCAGGACTGCTGTCTGTAAGGGCACAGAAGGCTCTGTAATTGGAAAACATAAGCTGCCAGCTTCCCGTGTTTCTGAAAGTCCGTGAACTTTTTACACTGCTGTCTTCTTGAAAATGATTGACAGTTTGAACATGGGGCTCCTACCTCGTGGTGACGCCTGCAGGAAGGTTTGGAAGCATGGCTTTTACAGAACCTTGTCTTGCTGATAAGTCAAAGGAGACAATAACAACAACAAAACATTTGAAAATGGGTACAGGGCGCCTTGAGTTGGCACCATCTGTCTGCCCCCAGGCCACCAGACCCTGGCCTGCTGCAGTCCTCTGGCCCTTGCTTTTCATATCCATGGCTTTCCAGCCTCTGTCCCCATGAAAACAGCCAAGTCCAAGAGAAATTCCAAAGGAGTTCCTGGCTCCAGCCTGGCCCAGCCGTGTCTGTGAGGCCATGTGGGGACTGAACCAGCAGATGGAAGATGTCTCTCTCCCCCTCTACCTGAATTCCTCTGTCTTAGGCTTATCTTTCAAATAAATACAAAAATAAATTGCGTTGGACAGGTTGATATTCCAGAAACACTCCCATTTTTTGTGCCCAGGTATTCCCTCCTGGGCTGTGACCCTAACCCCACACACCTGCCCTTCTGCCCTCCAGCCTGGTGCTCTGCGGCCTCGGCGCCTCTGACGGTCCTGGGGAGGGAGCCCGGGCATGGGTGGAAGCAGGCGGAGCTGGTGCTCCTTTCTTCCAACAAGGTGGTTTTCTCCTGGGTATCCATTAGATTTGTGAGCAAAATGAGCAACAGAACATTGCTTTTGCTCCCCGACAGGAATTTTCTGAACCGACGGTTATTCTCTTTGAAAGAGAAAACTTCAAAGGAAAAAAGATTGAACTTAATGCAGAAACGGTTAATCTCCGATCCCTGGGATTCAACACGCAGATTCGCTCTGTTCAGGTCGTTGGTGGCATGTGAGTGACGTAATTCCTTGTTGACTCAATAAAGCAGGTAGTTTCTTTAAATCCCATTTGATCAGGTTTCTCTCTTGCATTACTTTAAACAACTTGACATTTTAACACCTTATTTTCTGTAATAGTTAATAATGATGCACCTTGGTAGTAACTTCTCCCACTGGGCAAAGCCACGTTTAAGATGCCTCTGTCTCCTTATTCAGTTTTCTAGCTTTTTTTGGGTTAAGACCTTGTCTTTAACGGCTTCCAAAAGTCCCTGGGGGAATGCTTTGTACCCAGGTGCTCGGCAAATGTACTGAGCGCTCTTTTAGCAAGTAAGAAAGAGCTTAATTTTTAAGTCCTTTTGAAAGATGAAGTCCTTTGATTTTGCAGTTCAGACTTGAGATTTTCCTTTGTGTAGGAGCGACTGCAGGACAAATGATTAAAGGTCAACCTGGGAAGATTTTTTTTTTCTTAGCATTAATAATTTTGAAATGAGTCAGATATAAAAATGAGTTAAGCACCATCGATGCATTAAGTGTTTTCAAGAAAGTAGTTTTCTTTTACTCACCACAAACTGGGTGTTGTCGGCCTGTATTTATCAAATGTTGCAGAGGAACTTGGCCATTTAACAGCACAGTTCTGGAACGTCAGGGTGGTAGAATTATGGCTGACAGTTTTCCCTAAATGACCACACTGTAGAATTGCAGGATGCAAGGCAGAGCGCCTTCTCCCTGCAGTGTGTTGCGTCTGGGCAGGAGGGAGGGTCCAGGGCTGCTCCCAGCGGTCCGTGCCGGAGCCCACACCCCCCATGTGTGTGGCCCCAGCACTTCTGGGTGGAAGGGACCTGAGTCTCCAGGGTTTTCCAGATTTAAAGGTTACTCTCATTTGAAACAAGAAAAACTACTTTCTATTTAGTCCTCATTTCCATGTACCTTTGTGAATATTAACTGTTTAAATGACTTAGTATCCATTGTTACAACTGGAGGTGTTTTATGAACAGTGCGTGCAAAGGCTGGGGAGTCCCAATAAAACTATCTCTGTGCTTTATTGGAGGAAAAAAAACTTACCTATTCCTCTTCAAGAATGGATCTTTCTGCTAAAAATATGCTATTTGTCAAGAAGCAGTTGCTGGGAGTGTCCCAGGAGATGGGGTCGTTCAGTCTAGAAATTGCAGGCAGTGGGAGAGAGAGTGCGTCGGGTCCACTGCTGAGTGGGAACTGGCGCTCACTGTGGCCGCCTGCCGGCTTCGTTTTGCAGCTGGGTGACTTACGAGTTCGGCAACTACCGAGGCCGACAGTTCCTGCTGTCCCCCGCTGAAGTGCCTAACTGGTACGAGTTCAGTGGCTGTCGCCAGATCGGCTCCCTACGACCTTTCCTTCAGGTATTTCCTCCTCCTCCTCTTGCCTATGCAAGGCAGCGCGTTAGCACCAGTGTCAACTCCGCCATTGGCCTCACCTCCCCTTCTCCCGCGCTCCCCTCCCGAACGGGGGGGGGGGGGGGCTGCTGCGGGCGAGGAGCCGTGTGGTTGCTCCAGAATCTATGCTGTCCAGCCATCCCATGCCCTGGCTTGTCCGCAGACAAGGCCCTACCCTGGGCCCCTTGAAATTGCTTGTCAGATGACCTCACTGAGGAAATCCTGAAGCTGCTGTGGCGGCTCCTGAGTGTGGCTGTGCCTCACCGAGCCCGCCCGCCCGCCCGCGGGGTCAGCGCCTGCCCTGCGCCTTCCACGGCGCAACCCGCCTCGGACTTATCACTGGGATTTTTGTCTTCTAGAAGCGGATTTATTTCAGACTTCGAAACAAGGCCACAGGGTTATTCCTGTCGACCAACGGGAACCTGGAGGACCTGAAGCTCCTGAGGGTCCAGGTCATGGAGGACGTCGGTGCTGACGATCAGGTCTGGGTATACCAGGAAGGCGGTCTGGGTATACCAGGAAGGCGGGGTTCCAGGTCTGCCGGGGCGGGGTTCCAGGTCTGCCGGGGCTTCTGCCGGGGTTTCCGCCGGGGCTGACTCGTCCTGCAGCAGGCTCTTCACCTGTCCTCGGACACGTGTGCTCTTGCACAGTTCCTGCAGCACTCGGGGAGAGAAACTTGAAGTTTTTGTGTGTTTTTTTGTTTGTTTGTTTGTTTTTGGTTTTTTTTTAATGAGAATATTTCCTGGTTCTGGTAGAACGAGTCTAGGAACTTAAAAGGAGGTCAGTCCAGTGAGAATATTTTTATCTGTTATTGATTTTTATGTAGCAATAGAAAAAGGAAGTTTTTCTGTTGCCCTTCCACTTTTCCTTAACCCCCCCACCCCCAGCACAGTGAATGAAAGCCCCTCTTGGGTCTGCCTGTGCTTTTGGAGAACCCCACGGCAGGGAGAGGCGGCGAAGATACCCGCAGGCCCCGCGCCGCGCACGCCGCCCACGCCCGGTGCTCTCGCGCTGCTGCAGAGTTGGGACAGGCCCAGCTCCTCGAGCTCCACGCCCACTGGGACGGGCGCTGCAGAGCTGAACGTGATGAGGGCAGGCCGCGCTCCCGCTGGGGCTCTCTTTTACGGCATGCTTTTCATGGGCTGCCAATGTTTAAAGACGCAGTGCGCCATGAGTCAGCAGACGGGAGACGGCCCTGGGAGAGGAGCACGCCTTGTTCACTGAGCCTGACCCGGCTGGAGGGAGACGCGTCCTTGCAGCAAACAGACGTACTGTCGGGGCACGCGAGAACACACAGCGTGCCAACCTCAAACAAGTCAAGAGAGTGGGGCCCGCCAGCGGTTGCTGACAGACGTCCTGGTGATTTACGTAACCACTCGACCGACCGAGGCGGAGGAGTGCGGGGTCACGGGCCCTCGCGGGGTTTGGTCTCCGTGTAGCACAGCACGCCGCGAAGAAGCGTCTCTCAGCACGTGGTGCCCCACACGTGCCGACCCTCGGGTTAAGGGCAGGTTGAGGGCAGGGAACGACTCGTAAACTTTTCATTAAAGCAGCCTCTAGTGAGTCTATAGTTTTAAGATTTATTTATTTATAAGTTGGAATTAGAAGAAGAAACAGAGATCTTCCATCTGCTGGTTCAGTCCCCAAATGGCTGCACCGGCTGGGCCTAACCCAGGCTGAAGCCAGGAACCAGCAGTTCCTTCCAGATCTCCCACGTGGGTGCAGTGACCCAAGCACTTGGACCATCATTCGCTGCTTGCCCAGGCGCGTTAGTGGAGCAGCCGGGACTCAAACCTGCACTCATTTGGGATGCTGGTGTGAAGATGGTGACTTGACCCACTGAACAACAGCACGCACCCCTCCCCTCTCTCTCTCTTTCTTTATAGTTGGGTAGCATGGCTATTTAGGAAAATTTAGGCATTTCTCCTGAAGAAGGGACAAGAGATGCCAAAAAATGCAGTTTCAATCTTGAAATGATAAAATGCCCTTTGGCCATTCTGCTGCTACAGGGTTGAAGTGCAGTCACATACCGGACAGGCAGTCTGGCAGAGGTGATGGGCCCGGGAGCCCGGGGGGCAGGCCTAGCCTTGATCAGATTCTTCTGATGGGGGAAGTTACCACAAAGGGTAGCTGCAGCATCCCGAGGCTTTTCTCACCACTAGACAGGGAGTCTTACCAAAGGCAGAGATCCCTTATGATGGACAAGTATTGAGAACTTGCCGTCACTGATGTCATCGAAAGTTCAGGGCATAATGTTGGATGTCTGGTTCCAGTTCCCCTCACCGAAAGCTGAAGTGTCTAACGTGGGCCATGTGGAGCCAGGGACCGGGATAACTGTACAGATCAATTTAACGAGAGGATTGATTGCTATGAGACTTAAATACGTCTCCACTGCTAAGACGCATCTGGTTGGTTCCTCTAAGCAGATAGCGGAAGACTGCTGCCTGACCATTGTGGGCAGCCTGGTGACATCTGGCTCCAAGCTTGGCCTGGCCCTCGACCAAAACGCTGAGAGTCAGTTCTGGTGCATGAAATCCGACGGCAGGATCTACAGCAAGTTAAAGCCAAATTTGGTTTTGGATATCAAAGGTAAGAATGATGTTTGTTTTCTTTATTATAACGTGCCTTTCTTGAATTTAAAAAAAAAAAACTTAACTTTTGAAAATCGTTAGTATCTTATTATTCGTAACAGCGAGAAAGACACTACGTGCCAGCCCTTGTTTGTAGCACTTGACATGTATTATCCCCTGTGCTCCTCACAGCAGGCCGAGGGCCCAGAGGCAGGAGTGAGATTTTGGCTGAACTTGTCACCCTAACACCCTTGGGCTCTAATAAACTATGGGTTTTACTATAAGGGCTGTGATCTGGCTCAGCGAGAATAGTTGAGGAATCGGTGCCCCATGGGATGCTGGCAGCTTTACCCATTACGCCACAATGACAGCCCCTCTTCTTGAATTTTTTCAACATATATGAGGAGGGCACTTCAAAAACCTTGTGGAAAATAGAATTAAGAGGTTTATTTTCGTGCAAAACATTTTGAAAACCCATGCATAATGTTTTCATCAAGTGTATTTCCCATGAACTTTTTGACAACTCCCATATGCATGTAGTTCAGTTAAAAAATATATTTGAGAAGCAGAGGGACAGAAACAGCGAGAGTGTGCTCCCATTTAGGGAGAGTTTACTCCCTAAATACACCACACGATCCAGACCTCTCACATGGGAGTCAGGAACCCAATGACTTGAGCCATGACCACTGCCTCCCAGTATTTTGCAGCAAAATCGGGTTGGCATTGTAGTTTCTGACAGCAGTCCCAGCTGCTCAACCTGCTGATCTACCTGCGAAGGCAGCGGCTGATGGTCCAGGTGCTTGGGCCTCTGCTATACAGCTGGGAGACCTGGATGGAATTCCTAGCTCCTGGTTTCTACCTGGCCCAGCCCTAGCTGTGGTGGCCATTTGAGAAATCAACTAGTGATGGAAGATTCTCTTTCTGCCTTTCAAATAAAAAATTCCTACAACATGCCAGAGGCTCCCAGCATAGGATCCCCCCCCCCCCTCCTTGCTACACTAGGAGTGGGCCAGAAGTAAGGACACCTGGTTTCTAGTCTTAGCTCCAACTTAGTGGGGCTTTAGGAGGTGGTCTCTTTAGGGCTGCACTTGGGAACTCCAAGCTGTAAGTTCTAATGCATAATAATCCTTTAGTTATAAATTAATCAAGTCCTCGTTCATTTGTGACCACTGTCTCTGGTAGCTACGACAGTCAGTTTCTTGTTGAACTGAGTAACTTTCAGAACGCTGGAGAACGGTGCCATCTTGTGGACATGAGAGAGTAGGGCCACGCGCCCCACACAGCCGCGCGAGGGGCGAAGCACGCCTCTGCTCACACTGCTGAGCCACCTGTTCCCTGCTAAAACTGCCTGGAGCTCGAGCTGATCACGTTCTGTCCCTTCCAGCCATCTCCTGTGTTTGCAGAATGAGCTGTTTTGGCAAACAAGTTGTATTCCAGACGCCATACCTTGTAACGACAGTAGACACTGACTCATGTTCATTTTAAAAAACATCAACAGTCTGTGACGACTTAGGTCCTTCCTTTTTAAAAGCAAAAGACTGAATCAGATTATTTCTCATGCACTTCCTCGTCTTCCTGTTTCTAATTAATGTGATGTATACAAAAAGGATCGTAAGATACCTTACTCTTGAAGAATGAAGAGACATTTTGCCCTTCAGATAATGAGCGTATCTTTCAAAAAAAAAAAATATGGAAAATGTAATTAAAAGTTTTGGTGCAAAAAATTTTAAAATCCGTGCATACAAGGAGTCTTCAAAAAGTTCATGGAAAATCGGTCTCATGAAAAACCTGCATGGATCTCAAATTCAGGAGGGGTTTTCCACGGGCTTCCTGAAGGGCCCCATCCTTCCTGTAGCCCCAGTGCTGTCCGGGGGTGTGTGTGTGTGGGTGAGTGATGTTGGAGAGTTGGAGAGTATGGCGGTGGCAACTTTCCTGTTCCCACGGCACCTGCACCTGCACCCACACCCACACCCACACCCACCTGGGTAGAGGCTCTGGGTTACCAACGATACAAACCTGCTTCTCCCGAGAGGCTTACACAAGAGGATTTCCTCCGCCCATCTTCAGACCTTGGGAGTTCATGAAGGTTTGTGTTTATTTCTTCTTGGCCTGAGGCATCAATTTAATAGCAGTCACACCCTGTGTCTACACAGATCGGTGTCAGAACCTCAGAGTAGAGGCTAACGCTAAAAAAAGATACGGTCTCTGAAAGGAAAAATTGCTCGGGTCACCCTTTGTTCTCGTGAGTGATGCTTCCCCGTCCACAGAAGCCTCGAGCTGTCTTTACCTGAAGTTCCCAGTAAGCAAACCTGGCAGGAGACGGCGGCGGAGTTCCCGATGCCCGACTGATGGCGCAGTGGCACTCAGCGTCTTCAAGGCCACGAGTTTGCGTGCCGCCAGTTTCCGCTGCTTTCCACCCCTCCTCCCTTCCCATCTCTGCCTGCTCGGCCGGCCTTTGCCTCATTGGCACCCAGCAGCTCTGATCCTGAGTGCATCTTGGTCCCTTCTGCTCCCTCCTCCGTCTCTAAGCTGTCCCCCGCACCCCCCAGTTTCAGGAACCTCATGAGAGAGCGTGGGCCTGAGCAGACTGGTGCTCCCCGCCCCCTGCGTGTTCACACCCTGTTGGCTGGTGCTCGCTGGTACTGTGGTGACTGCCCCCCTCGCGCACTTCCCTTCACTGTCTCCCTTCTTCCCTTTCAGGGGGTGCACAGTATGATCAGAATCACATCATCCTCAACACCGTGAGCAAAGAGAAGTTAACACAGGTGTGGGAGGCCATGGTCCTATGACCTTGGGCAAGGAACGCAGGAGGAATCTTCCTGGAGGCCTGTCCGGTCACCTCATTTAAGACTCACAAAAGCACGAGGCCCACAAAGAGCCGAGTGGAAAGCGAGACCCGGCTCCTTCAGCAGCCACGAGCTCAGTCTCAGTGAGGCGGCGCGGCGGGGAGGGCGTCCGGCTCACCGCTTCCGAGGCCACCACCGCGTGAAGCCAGTCGTCTGCCTCTCCTCGCGGGAGCTCCTCCCTGGCAGCTCCTGGGGGCTTTGTACACACGTCACTCCAAGATTTCAAGACCACGTACCTGTCTCAGTGACCTCCAGACCCCCGAGGGAAGGGCCATAGTGGCCTGCAAGTTTGGTCAGTGGCCTTACTGTTTACCGGGACTATTAATTATCTTGTATAGCAAAGTAAGGAAGCCTTAGATACTCATATTTTAAGGAACTCAATAAAATCCAACAAAATCCTATTTTCTTTCAGGTAATATTAAAAACCTATACATTTACAAACGTTGATGTCCCTGTCTGCTAAGAGTGATTAGAGCTCCCTCACACGTGGTGCTCAGTGACAACAGCACTACCGCCGTCTTGCACTGCTGCCCAGGGACCGAGCCAGGTTCTGCCAGCCGTCGCTCGCAGACCTTCCAGCCTGGTCTCCTGCCTGCCCAGCCTCGGGGCGGGGAGTTCTGCAGCCCCTGGATGTGCAAGGCTCAAGAGGATGCCCAGAGTCCTCTCCAGACCGTGCCGGAGAGGAGACGCTGCCGCTGCAGAGGTGTGCTGCTCCAGTCTCGGGGCTCGGAGAACCCTGGAATGCACGCAGTCAGCATTTCCAGGATGGAAATCAAGACTTAACTGCTGCCAAGGCACTGGCCTGTACGCTGCTGTTCACACAGTGGGCGTCAGTTTTGTATTCCTCCTCCCTCAGGCCTCGCGTCTTGAACACTGGGGCTCTTGTCGCCTGTTCAAGCGTGTCTCCAGTTCTAAAACGGTGACCCTCGGTGAGCCTCGCAGTAAATCATGGTCCTTAGCGTAGTTTGCCTTCAGGTTCAAAACAACGTGCACACAGCGTCTGACATGTCTGTCTTGCTCTCAGATGGACAGCGCCGACTTTAGACCTTTTGAGTGTCATTAGAACAGGGTGGGTAAGACATTCTACATGAGCCTGTGCGGAATTCATCCCTGGAGTAAACCTGGCTCGCTTGGTGCGATCTGGTGGATGAGGGCTGCTGAAGGGACTCCGATACATCAGAGCAAGCCAGCAGCTAGGACAGGAGCCACGCACAGGGGAGGCGGCGGCGGGCGTGTGGCTGACCGCGCTCCTGCTATCCCAGGCGGTGGACAGAGGGGGAGGGGTCTGGGCTCATTTACCCTCCCTTGACTGACCCCTCGCGACCACCAGGGAACCCTCAGAGGAAGTGAAGTCGAGAGCAGGGGGTTGTAACTGAAAAACGTTAGCTTGTTAAACAAGCCATCTTAGAGAAAAGTCCACCTCAAACAGTGAGTCTCCGAGAGGAATAAGCCAAGTCGAAGGTTTCTCAAAACGGGTCTCCCTCAAAAGCGGACTGCAAGTATCCAAGTGCAATAATGGAGATGAGGGTGACAGGAACGCACGACTTACTGCAGCTGAGTGACGCGGGAGCACACAGCTCGACGCATTCCCGGGCGAGACCCAGCCACAGCAGGCCTTTGAGCTCAGAACATGGTGAGCCTGGGCTCTGCTGGGAGGGGAGTACATCTCACTTGTTGAAAGGCCCTTACGCAAAAGGGAAGGGTTTCTAAAAGTTAGTTCCTGTAGCCAAACTTTCAATACTGAGAGTAAACCGGCACATCACTGGTGAGATCGTTACATAAGACCCTGAGAGGGTCAGAACTGTGTAGGCCGAGATGCCACGTCAGAGTGCGAGAAGCAAAAGGAAACCTTGGCCAGTTAGGAAAAGTGCTCAGTGAGCAGTTCAAGAAGGCACCGGCAGGGCCGGCGCTGTGGCATAGCAGGTAAAGCCGCTGCCTGCAGTGCTGGCATCCCATTTGGGCGCCGCTTCTAGTCCCGGCTCCTCCACTTCCCATCTAGCTCTCTGCTATGGCCTGGGAAAGCAAAAGAAGATGGCCCAAGTCCTTGGGCCCCTGCACCCACGTGGGAGACCTGAAAGAAGCTCCTGGCTCCAGATTGGCCCAGCTCCAGCCTTTGTGGCCATCTGGGGAGTGAACCAGTAGATGGAAGACTTCTCTCTCTGCCCCTGCCTCTCAAGTAAATATTTAAAAAAGAAAAAGGCAGCGGCACTGGCTTAGACAAGCTAAGTACACTAACGTCCATCCATGCACCAGAAGTTTTAGTGTCTGACAAACATTAACATAGGAGAGTACTTCAAAGAAATTCATGGAGAAATGGCATTAAAAGATGAATTCATTTTGGTGCCAAAATGCTTTACATCTATGCATAGCTTTTCCAGAATGCACATCTTCCATGAACTTTTTGTAAGACCCTCCTTCGTGCCTGTGCTACGAGAAGACAAGATGTCTCAGTGAACACAGACACGTCCAGGTGCTGGTATTTTTCCAGCAGTCACTGGCAAATTACTGCTTTAAAAAAATTTTTGTTTATAACCTTATGTCATGGAACTTATAATCTAACCTGGGAGACTGAAAGGGATGGAACCACAGGCGCTCACCAAGAAGAAACCCAACATTCACAACACTGGAGTTTATTTAGACAACATTAATTACGGTCTTTCCTCGTGCGTGTCCTTTCTCCACCTTCAGGAAGGCTTCTGGAACTTTAGAGAAAGGGAAGGTTTGTTCAATAACGGGCCGGATCTGGAAGACACAAGAAGAGGTTGACTGGTGGAGAGGCGCCTGGATCTCCCGGGGCCGCCGCCGCCTAGGTCGTTTCCTCGGTGTGTCCTCCAAGGCCAGTCTCCCAGGCTCCAGCTGGTGTCCCCACGTCACACCTGGCCGTGACGGTCACCTCATCGCACTGCTTCTCTCAGAAGCAGCCCAGCTTCTCCATGGCCCCATCTTTCTTCTACACTCTGCCGTGTGTGTGTGTGTCTGTCCCTCCTACTCAGAACCATGCCACAGCTCCCAAGGCAGGGATGCAGACACCCCCACCCCCACCCCGCCTGCCTGCAGACTCCGCCTGTGCTTTCCCTGACGCCTTTGAGCGTGGGTCGCTGACGCCTCTGCGCGTACAGGTCAGCTGGCCCAGACATCCCTCTCTGCAGCGCGCAGCGCCCAGCGCCCTTCCAGCCCGGGTCCCACCCGACCTCCCCGGTCCCCAGTGTACAGCCTGCGTGCCTTTCACTGAGACACTGCGCTTACTGTAGCCGAGTGTATGTCTCAGCCACCTGGCACACATGGCAAATCCCAAAGGCAGGGCTGAGTTCCTCTTGTCCCCTTCACAGACCATACACAGAAAAAGAACAAAGTGTTTTTAAAAACTGTTAAATGGCACGTCTACCCAACTACAACATAAAATGCCTGTGGTACAGCCCAGCCTCCCTGTGCCCCCACAGCACCCAGTGTGCCAGGCATACAGCAGGAACTTACTGTCGCCTCGGTGAAGGCCAGCATGGTAAAAGGGAAGCAAGGTCGCGTGAGCTCCTGGGCTGCGCTGGAGGCCCTGCCAGCAGCAGCAGCAGGTGCCTTCCCAAACCAGGTCCCTGGTGACGTCCCCTCCTCCCCACGCAAAAACATCCACTCGAACTGTTCCTTTTCAAAACCTCAAGCAAAACCCAGCTGTTGACCTCCGGGTGCCTCCCCCGCCGCAGTGGCAGGGAGCGGCTGTCAGAGGCGCGAGCCGACCCACGCGTCTTGCAGCCCTGTCCTTTCCTGAGAGGAAGACGCGGGCCCGGGTCAGCCGATGAAACCCTCGTGCGACTTGCACAGCCCGGTCAGCAGAGGGGCATCGGGGACTCCAAAAGCTCCCTTCCCCCAAGAGCTGCGAATTCTGCATCCACAACAAGCACACCCTAACAGTAACAGCTGGCACCTGCTGCCCTCACTAAGTGCCAAGCAGTGTTCCGAGGGCCCTCTGTATGTTACCCCACTGAATCCTCATAACCCCCGTCTCAGGTAGGAACCACTATTATTCCCATTTTACAGATGAAGAAATGAAGGCACAGGGTTACACAAGTTACCCAGCGTCACACGGCAGGCAATGGCAATGCAGGATTCCATCTCTCGCTGCTGCATGCTGCTCCTCCCACAGCTACCCCAAAGTCTGAGAGGAAAAGTACTGATTGGTCACAGCCTGCAGCTGGGTCCACCTTCCCGTGCCAGCTGAGGCTCGGGTCTCCAGGCCCTGTGTCCAGGCGACCTGGCTGACAGATGTGTGGTTCGTGGGCCAGCACTGCCCCTGTCCTCAGAGGCCATCACTAATGGATGATCCCCAGCAGGACGAGCATGACTTTGGCTCTCGTGCAACACCGCAGCTGCTGTGCGCTGCGCTGAGCCGAGCTGGCTCGGGGCGGGAAACCCCCTCGCCCTCCCCAGGAACAGGATGCAATGCGCTCAAGTTGCTTCCTAAAGCCACCCCAGGAAGCCTTCTGAACCCACTGCTCTCCCTCAAGCCTCTGGGACCTGGAAAAGGAGATCACCAAAGCAGGCCCAGGCCCCGGTTGGGACGGCGCCATCGCAATCTCTGGAGCTGGGGTGGAGACCACGCGTGTTAAGTCAGCATCCTAGGCCGGCGCTGCAGCTCACTAGGCTAATCCTCCACTTGGGGCGCCAGCACACCGGGTTCTAGTCCCGGTCGGGGCGCTGGATTCTGTCCTGGTTGCTCCTCTTCCAGTCCAGCTCTCTGCTGTGGCCAGGGAGGGCAGTGGAGGATGGCCCAAGTGCTTGGGCCCTGCACCCCATGGGAGACCAGGATAAGCACCTGGCTCCTGGCTTTGGATCAGCGCGGTGCGCCAGCCGTAGAAGCCATTTAGGGGGTGAACCAAAGAAGAAAGACCTTTCTCTCTAACTCTACCTGTCCAAAAAAAAAAAAAAAAAAAAAAGCATCCTAGGTGACCTGTATGCATAGGGCCATGGGCGTGACGCAGGCTTCTGCCTTCTTCTTAGGGTCCCTAACATGGATCCGCACCTAGCCATCCATTCCACAAAGACGAGGCATCTGCCTTCTGAGCGCCAGGCACTAACACAGGCAGGTCCACACAGGCCGGACTGCAGAGTGCACGGCTCGCTCAGGTCGCTGTGCTCCGTCCGGAGACGCGGAGCCTGAACTGATGACACAGGCGGCCTGTGGCTGCTGCCCGCTTTAATCTGGCTGCTTAGGCCTATTGTGGCAGCTGACCCGAGAGGGCTGACCGCGGCATAATGAGTCATTCGGCAGTTCCCGTAAGTGACAATGAAAAAAGAGGCTTTCAAATTACAGGCGGGCAAATGCCACCGTTGGCTGAATGTGTGACAGCCAATGGAGATTAGCTGGATAATGAGACACTGTCTGAGCACAGCCGCACATCAGACCGAGAGTGTTTGTTTGTTAAGGACACGGGGATCAGAGTTGAAATCCAGAGAGGGGAAAGAAAGGTTACTCTCAGAGAAGTCCCCGCATTTATGTGATGACACTGCTAGAGTCCACCAGGCCCCGGGAGCCCCGTTATAAAGCGGGCGGGCTCAACGCCACTCTGCCTGCCACGCGGACACAGCGCTCACCGCCAACCAGGAGATGCCCACGGCTGCAGCCCTCCCTCAGTCTTGCACACATGGGTGGGCTCTCCTGCCTGCTCCCTTCCCTTCCCTAAACAAAGGCTGTGCCTTAGGGCCGCCGCCTGCAGGGCTGGCATCCCATATGGGCACTGGTTCTAGTCCCGGCTGCTCCTCTTCCGATCCAGCTCTCTGCTGTGGCCTGGGAAAGCAGTAGAAGATGGCCTAAGTGTTTGGGCCCCTGCACCCACATGGGAGACTTGGAAGAAGCTCCTGGCTCCTGACTTCAGATCGGCACATCTCTGGCCGTTGCGGCCAATTGGGGAGTGAACCAGCAGATGGAAGACCTCTCTCTCTTTCTAACTCTCCTTCTCTCTGTGTGTAGATCTGACTTTCAAATAAGTAAGTAAATCTTTAAAAAAAAAAAAAAAAAAGGCTGTGCCACACCAGGCCCCATGACTTGGCGCCTGCTGCCTGACATCCCCGGAGGACACAAGGACAATGGAGACCTTGGCCCCCTCTGGTGCAGCCTAGAAATCGCTGCTTCCCAGCCATGGGCAAGTCTTCCCCCCTCTGCCCCTTGAAGGGAAGGAAGAGGAAGGGGAAACCTGTGGGCACTGCGAAGAGTCCAGGCTTTGCCCTGGTTCTCAGCGGCATGGAAGCGGAGGGTGCTCCTGATCCCCATCTACCCAGCACGATGCCCTAAATAGTGGAGCGAAAGGAATCCACACACCCGAGCGAGCCTGTGTGGACAGAGGAGGACACTGCAGCGCGAGTGGTCGCGGGATGGGTGCAAGGTCAGAGCCGTCAGGAGAAGTGCCAGAACTCGGATCTAGGCCTCCCGACTGCACTACTGTACAGGACCGATGCAGGCTGGGGCGCCTGGGTCTGTTCCGCTGCCCCACCTCGGCCCCTGGGCCTCACCTGCCTGCACGCACAGAAATGCGTGTGAGGAGACTGGCGGATGACAGACACCAAGGAAGACGGAAGGGCTCCTGGGATGAGTGCGAATCCACACACCTGTGGGCGGGCACCAGGACTCTAGCTCCAGCACCACCTCCTGCACGGGTTATGCCCCCGACCTCTGTGCTAGGTTCAAAGATTCCAGGGTCAGGGCAGAGGGGAAGAGGAAGACAGAGGAGAAGCCAACAGAGACCTCCAAGCAGGGAGAGGGGTGAGACGGGAGGGCATGACGGATGGGGGACGCCCCACAGGAGGAAGTTACACCCATTCTGGAATGCATCCAGGACTCGTCCCTGGGTCGCGTCCCTTACAACAGAGGCACGCACTCCTGCAGCCAGAAGGAAGGCGGAGACACTCGGCACGCGTTTCCTCACAGACGTAACTGCAGCAGCATCAGAATAACCAGAAGCCTCAGGGTCTGGGAGCTCTGAGTCTTCTCGTGGCCCTGGGGATTCAAGCCTGGACCATCAAGCTCCTTCTATGCAGCAAAATCTGGCTGCCCTGAGGGACGTCAGGTGTAGAAGGCAATTCACAGCTAAGCTGTCCAAGAGGAGTCTGGGAAGTTGCCTGTCTCGGAACTCATTATGCTGTCCTCCAAAGCTGTGGTGCTCAGTATGGTGGGCTCTAGTCACACGTGGCTATTTCATCAAAAGTGAGCAAATAAACCAGACGAGTCAGTCTCTCACTGCACCAGTCACACTCCACTGCTCAGGGGGCTGGTGGCTGCCACAGTGCCCATGCAGGCAGCACACTTCCATCACCATGGAAGCTTCTAGCAGGCAACACATCTCCCTATACCCTGTGCGGTGAAGAAGTGGGCTAATGGGCCCTCAGCAGATGTTCTGAACTAAATAAGTTATTATAGGCGCTGTTCTGAAATGAGTTAAAGAAAGAAATGGAGAAATCTGCATTTCGTTGCTCACCCAGGAAGCTTGGCTGGTCACTATATGTTTTTATCAGACCTGTCAACATGCCATCAGAGGGCTTCAGTAATTCTGTGAAGAATGTATGTGTGCAGACAGACATACTCAAAAAGACAAAGGAATAAAAAACCTTTCTCAGGGGCAGCAGTATTTCCAGTTCCCTTCATATCCTTTTGAGATGGCTCGTGCACCACGGTTGGCAGAATAATGACCCTCACACTCACGTGCTAATTCACGTGCTAATTCCCCGAACCTGTGTGTGTGCTCCTGCACAGCAGAGGG